CGGAGTCGGCTGAGTTGTTGGGTGAGGCCAACGCCGAAACACCCACCATGTTCGATGTTTTCTTAATCTCAATGGAAATAGGCGAACGCTTCTTGACTGCTTGTTCAGCGGCTGTGAATGATTAATGAATGAATGAAGAGCAAAGTAAATACAAAGCCATGCTTACGCTTCTTAATCAGCTTGCGCTCGTTCAGCGCCTTGTCGGTGGCTCTCACTCGCTTCTGGGGCGTGTCTCTTGATCCCGACGAGCTGTCCGACGACGATGATCCCGACTCCGAATCGGAGTACGAGGTATCAGATGAGTCTGAAAATGATTTGTAACCAGCATTAGAATGAGTGTATTGCGTACATGCGATAAAATTATCTCTTACCTGAGTCGGAAGTGCTCGAACTGCGGCGGCGTCTCAACTTGTCAAATTTCTTGGGTGCTGGCGATGACAGCTTCTTGCGCTTAGAAGCTGGACTGTGGCCAACGCCACGCTTGTCCAGAGCGGGTCTCTTGTACGAGGGCGAAAGGCTTCCCTCTGAAATGAGAAAAACGTACGAATAAAGGACCCGTATTAGCAATGAAGCGACTCGATCAAATACTCACTAGAAGTGTGCCGCGGGCGTCGCGGTATCTGGCTGGGCGAACGGGCCGCACGTCCATGACGGCGTGAGGTGGCGGCGGCGGCGGCTAGCTTGTGCGAGCTGCCACCGTAGCGCCGCTTATGATCTGACGGACTGCTCGAACGCGACGAGTCCGAGCTGGAGTCACTCTGCGAACTGTTCGAGGTGGAGTACGACGAGTTGCTGCTGTAGCTGCGCCTGTCCCGACGACGACGGTCTTCGCGATCGTATGATCCGCGTCCAATCGACTTGGATCGCATCCAGGGATCACTCCACTCACCACCACGTCCGGCGGCCTCAACACGCTGTACGATGACCTCGCGCGTTGGCCTCGATCGGCGATCGTCCTCATAGTGCGGCATCCGATGGGGCGGCAACTCGCGATATCTAGCCATGCGGCCGTACGCATCAACATCCTCGTACTGCGGTGGCATATACTGGGACCGGGCGTAGCGATCGGGCGGCGGTCCGTAAACGGAGTACTGCAAGGGCATTAGAGCACGAGGATTGGCATGGGCAACGCCATGCGCGTGCATGGACATGGGCATACTGAGTGGATTGAGTGGCTGTTCCCGCACAGAGGCCGACGGCGGCGGCGGTGATCGGGCGCTGCTGCCGCCACGATCCTTGAGGTAATAAGAGTCCTTCTCCATTTCATCGGGAGACAGTGTTAGGTTCATCTTCTTGTCCTCAAAGTCCATGTCCTGTTCCTTACGTTTGTTGGCTTTGCGCATCATCTCCTTGGCAGTGCGCAGGCCGCGCTCCCAGGCATTCTCCACCACAACCGGAGCTCCGTCAGGCAGCAGTGTGCGTGCGTCGTGGACGTGGGCACCATAAATACTGGGCGCATGGAGGAGCGCCGGTCGGTGGTGCAGCGGTGGCCGCTCATTCCGATAGTCATGATAGTCGGCAGTCGCCGAGGCGTGCGAACTGTAGGCACTTCCTCCGGCACGAGCGGCAGCGCTCGATGATGCCGCTGCTGGGGCGGGAGCTACAGCCGAACCACCACCCTGCATTGGGACCGAGCGTACCAGGCTCTCGAACATCGTGTAGTTGCCCTTGTCTGTGACGCCGGGATGCAGGAAGCGACAGCTCATGCCCCAAGTGCACTGGCCGCGTGTGTAGAATCGACACACCGGCTTCGGTTCAGTCTCCTCCGGTCGCTTTTCATCCTCGTCGGACACCTCGCCCTCCTCCAGTTCATCCTCCAGCTCATCCTCGTCATCTTTTATCACTATGGTTGGTGTCAACCTTGACATTTTATGCTTTGCCTTTTTGCCGTCCTCCAGGCTGCCATTGCCGGCGCCGTCTATTCGGTTGTCTTTATCATCGCCTTCTTCCTCATCGCAGCCCACGCAGATGACGGCGACTTCATCATCATCGTCTTGCGACACCTTGGTCGCACTTTTGGCCTGGTTTGTTTCGTTGGCTGTGTTCTCCATCAGTGGTCGCTCCTTTGCCTGCTCCGGGCACTCGCCCTCCTCCGCCTCGAAGTCCAAGGCGTCGTCGTCGTGCGTCTTGACCAAGTCCTCCTCCAAAGCTGGCGCTGGTGCTCGCCCATTGGACGCTTCGTCGGACTGAAATAAATATGAGTTATTAATCGTTCAAGCTCTATAGATTAGAAACTACAATTAGAAACTAGAGCTCACATGGGTTTCTTTTGCGAAAGCCTTTTTCTCATCTCCGCTTGTCGCCTTGCCGTTCTGCTTCGACTGCTTCTGCTGCACCTCATCCTCCTCGTCGAGAGTGGGCAATGAATCATTGGATATAGCGTCATCCTCATCCTCATTCTCATCCGCCGGATGCAGCGAATTCTTGGAGAGGGCGCGCTTCTCCTCGCCCTCGAGGTCGCTAACATCGCTAAGGTCCTCGTGACTGATGTTCAGATCCACGGCAGCCTGATTGTACAGCTGGGGACTGTTGCTCCGACTGCGAACGGATGAGAGAAAGGAGCTAGGCTGTGACTTGGCGCCGGGCGAATCAGGTTGTTCCGGTTCCCCAGGCGTTACAGCAGCAGACTCAGATCCTGGTTCATTGGATTCACGCTCATTTTGGAGCGTGTGCTGCTGCTGCTGCTCATGTTGCTGATGGGCAAGACGCTGCTGCTCCTGCTCCGGCTCCTGGTCGCCGTCATCCTCGCTGGAGGAGCCGCTGGAAGAGCTACTGCCACTGCCACTTCCGCTGCTGCTGCTCGAGCTTTTCTTCTGCTTCTTGGACAAGTCACTGCGACTCGAACTGGAACTGGAGTTGGATGATGAGCTGCTTGTGGAGGCGGCTCGAACGGATCGATCCGGATTGGGGCCACCACCTCCGCCAACCGATTCGTCAGCCAGATCCGGAGCAACCTCCTCCTTGTCGTTGCTGGGCGAATTCGACCGTGACTCCGAGGAATTGGACGGGGAACTGGCACGAGAATCGTCCGATTCCATGTCAAGGACCATGGGTTCGCCTTACGCCGGTGCGGGCAACTCTTTCCTTGGCGGTTCTGCAGGAGATTCGAACAGATTGAGAATTAGTTGTGCTGGCATGGCTATACCTACTCCACGCCTTGGACAAGTCTCAGAGGACTAAAACCCGCCACGTCCTGGTGGGGGAAATGCAACCGGGGCAAAACTAGTGAAGCAAGTCGATATTTCGTTGGAGGCTTCTGACGGCGATTACTGATTGATCGAGCGGACAAGTTTTGAATCTAAAAAGCAAGGATTACTAAGTTCCTAAATAATAAAGGCATTTGTCTGTCTCGAATTTCGATTCATGCTGATGGAACGCCAGCAGTTGAAACCAAGTGGTATTGCAATTGTTCATTACAAAAGTCAAAAACCGATAAGTAAATCGATAGCAGTGATATTGTGCAACCACAATAATCGAGAAGTGCATCCCACTGGTTCGATTACAAACTATCGATTATGGAGGCTGGCCTAATCAGAAAGGCAAGGGAAACCAAAGTCAAGGTCAAAAGCCCCCAACAAATGCCGATAGCTCCGATAACGCGATGGGGCATAACAATCGATTTTGATATCATATTTTTTATTTGTGGGTATGAGAGGGAGAATCAAAGTTTAGATCAATAAGTTTTTTTTTTTTTTTGCTTTTAACTTTTAGAGGGGTTCTTACCTTCATTTTTTTTATAAGCTTTTATCTTTTTAATTTATTGATTATATTGTGTGTGTGCAAGTTTCTTTTTGATTTTCTCTTTGTACTCTTGTACTTTACTTCGATTAATTTTCTTTACGCGAACGAGAGAGACAACAGAGAGCGAGGGAGAGAGAGTTTGTAAGCGCAGTGCAATTCGAAAAATTCTTTCAATTCTGGCGCTCTCTTCCCCTCACACACACACAGTTAAGGACACGCACACACACACACAGGTGCACACACAGAAAGTAAATTATTTGGATTTTTGCGGACTTTTTCGCACTTTTCGCGACCGAAATTGAATTTTCTTAACAACTTTAACCACTTTTATTCACTTACTGACTTTTGACTTGAACGGTTACTTTTTACTGGTTACTGTATTACTTTTGCAACATAACTTTTTACTTTTTTCAGTTCAGTTTTCATTTCATATTTTTTTTTGGAGGGGAAAAATAGAATACTTGAAAATATATCAATTTGTTGGTCTGGTATAGACAATATGCTCGATTTGTTGTTGCTGCTTACCTATGCTTGAGTAGTGTGAGTGCGAGCAAGAGCGCCGATGCGCTGCCTCTACTTCTGCCGCACTCTGCGCCGCGCTTTCCCTTTCAATCTTTTACCGCTGGAGACGGACGAAGGGCCCGTTTTTCCGGCGGCTCGGCGATTGGATTACCTGGAAGCGCTGGAAATTCGCTGGTTTGGGGCTGCGGAAAATGCTCTGGATGCGAATTGCGTTTAAGGACAAATTCTGTTCCGAGAAAAAACGCTAGCCGCAGAAAATATGGCGGCTGTCAATGTGACCGTGGATGGCGTGGCTGGAAATCGCGTAAGAAGCGTGCGCGTTGTCGGTGCGGTGTCTTAGCTTTCGTTGCGGAACTTAAAACTTTAAGCTATTTTCTTTTTAAATTCAAATCGATAAAGGATATGTCTTGGCGTAGTGATTATAGAAAGTGACTTATAAATCACTTCCTACTTTGCAAACGAGCTGTGAATAGGGCAGATATAATTAGTTCAAATATCGAAATGGTTCGTGTCGTGGCTAGAACGGTGTATTTTTTTTGCCAGTGCTGCCACTCTGTCCACAGAGGCGTCCACAAGGAGGGTTTTTATTTATTAGGCTGAAGTAAAATTACTGTTAATTGTAATGACTTTTTTTCAGAAAACCATATCCAATAAATTTACAACCAAACCATTTTCAACGAGCATATATTTTAGTAGTCATGACTTCAAATATCTCTACGACCCTGACAATTGCCAGCCTGCATGTAGTCGAAAAAAAAAACACCGGTCAGCTGGACTCCGTACTGTTGGCAAAATGTTGGAAGTTATCAAAATTGTTGCACATTCGTCATAATTACGCAACTGTTGGAATACAACCCACGCGAAGCGCACCCCCCTCGCCGACATACCACTGCCTAGTTGAGTTTTCCCGCCGGTGGCGTGTGTACACACTGGCCACCAAATGCAGCGACTGACGAAATCGTTACGTTCACTTCCATTTCCCGCGGGAAAAATCCTGCCTCCAGCGCCACGGGCCGCTTTGGTGGTCAGGCGGGAGTACTCCTCGGAGCTGCCGGAGCCCGTGGAACTCAGCTTCGATGCGTACGTCGGCGATAATCCAGAAACGAGGCCACCACTGCTCACATACCACGGCCTCTTTGGTTCCAAGCAGAATTGGCGGGGAATCAGCAAGGCTCTGGTGCGCAAAGTTTCCCGCAAGGTGGGCTACCAAGTTCCGCGAGGAGTTTGCAGTTTGTAACCCCAAGTATTTACCCCCATGCAGGTATATGCCATGGATGTGAGGAATCATGGCGAGAGTCCCCATTCGAGTGTCCACAATTCCAGAGCGATGAGCGAGGATTTGCGATGGTTCATGGAGCAGCGCAATCATCCGAGTGCCGCCTGCATGGGACACAGCATGGGCGGCAGGTCCATGATGTACTTTGCCCGGAAATACGTGAGTTTCATCTCATGTACAAGGCGCTTTTAATAATCATTTCCATCATCACAGCCCGAGTTGGTGGAGCGTTTGATAGTGGTGGATATATCGCCGATAAGCGTGCCCCGTTCCACGGGCGAGATGGCTGAAATCTTCGATGCGATGCTCTCCCTGGACCTTTCGCCGACCTTGTCCATGTCCGAGGGCAGGAAAATTGCACGGGAGAAGCTGCTCAAGGCCACCGAAGACCAGACCGTCGACTTTATCATGCTGAATCTTCGCAAGGATCCTGATACCGGGGCGTAAGTTGGGCACATATGGGTATTTTCGAACTGTTTTTGAACCCAGTACTCTTCCCTTAGCTTCACTTGGGCCTGCAATGCCCAGGTGCTTCGTGACTTCCTCACCCGCTTCGACAAGTACCAGACTCGTCTGGAGGAACTGCCGCCGTACACGGGACCCACTACGTTCATCTGCGGCACACGATCACCCTACATGAGGTAAGTAGGATCTTAGGTGCGTGAGAAACCTAAATAAATGAATCTTTTCGCCATTTTAGACCCGAGCAATGGCCGAAGATTCAGGAAATGTTCCCCAATTCTGAGATCCACTGGCTGGAAGCCGGACATCTGGTGCATTTTGAAAAGCCCCAGGAGTTCCTAACAATAGCCAGCGAGTTCCTGAACAGAACCGATTAGACCAAATTTGATATTTTAGCCAATTGTACAAAGAAGTCAATCGTAGATCGACTTTAGCTGAATTGAAAGCACACTTGTTTCTCTTGGAATCGGGGATTCGAATTCATTTTTTACTCATGCACTCCAAAAGACGTTATTCTTCGACGATCTTCGCAGATCTTCAAGAATCTTCACCGAAATGAACGGGATGGCACTGTTATTCTTATGAACGTGATGTGCGTTCTGAACTTGATTATTTTTCAGTTAGTTAATAATATATTTCTCAAGCGCCATTCACGAAATGGACTGGAAACGACGACGCCATGGGTTTACCCTCCTTAAAATAGTTTCACTTTGTAGTGGTGTATGTACATTTAAAATGTAATTTAATTTATCATTCTTGTTCGGCGTGTAATCGTTAGATTTTTTAGAGTTCCAGTTTCGTTCTTCATTTTCCATCTGGTTTTTGTTAAAAAATATACATACACAGACACGAAAAAAAAATGCCATGAAGAAGCTGATAGATCTCGTATGATCGTATGCTGCATACAAAAATTGACGGCAAGTATTTTTCCGCAATTTTTTCAATTTTTTTTTTGTTTTAATTTTCCAATTCGTTTTCCTTTGGTTCCGTGTGTGTATACGTACGTATTATATATATGTTGTTTCTTTTTGGGGCATGTGTGAGTGTCCTTACTTATTAGGAATAAATAAATGTGTATAAATACAGATATAAATCAGGGAAAATCACATTGCACTTAAAATTATAGAGTCAAAGTGGAAATCATTGATAAATGAACACAGTCCGCGTGCTTCAGTGTGTGTTTGTTGTGTTAAGTGGGTGTTTACAGGAGTTATTATCCTTGCTAAATACATCAAACAGGAATGGTGGGTAAAACTCTTGTGCTAAGGCTAAAATGGCTGTGATAATATTCCACGATTCGATTCGATGTTTGTGAGTGTGACTTTTGTGGGAGTTTCGAGTGTTTCGTGTGTGTACTTTGTGTGTGGGAGTGTGTGTGACAAGTCATTGATTTTGTCTCACAGCATCTTTAGTTTCTAGTTCTTTAGTTATTAGTTTTGCTCTAGTTGTAGTTCCACTTTAGTTGGATTTCTAGACTATAATGCCGCCATCGTAGGCGTAGTCGGCTTTGTTGTGCATGACGAGTCGGTTTTCCACAAAGTAAAAGCTGTCCGAGCGCGTCTCAAAGGGGCTCGATATCATCTCAGCAACTGAAAATGCAAACAAAAATGACTTAGTTATGTGTACTCTCATTTAATAGGCGCGCATACAACAAATCGTGCATTTCGTTTAAAAATTTGTCATTTAGGTGACATGGACAAGCCTCATCTCACAGGCGCAAATCGTAAGCGGCCTTGACCCACTAAACCCCCCATAAACATTTGGCAGCAACTTCCAATTGCGTGTCCTGCTGACTGGGGTTATGTAAATATGCTCACCTAGGTCGGGTGGAAGGTTAGGAAACTCGTAGATGTGCTCACACGTATTCTTCGAATATGGAATGCAGTAGCCGAACTCAAAGTCAAATGTCTTAAGCAGGCGATCGCGGAAGAAGTGGCGTTCGATCATACGGAAATTATTAACAGGCTGGCTGCCCACAGTGAATTCCACACTAAACAGAAAACAAACATAAATGGGAAAGTTACAAATGAAATTAAAAAGCACAAATACTGCGTAACCTACGTGGCTCCCACTGTTTTGAGGTTGAGAAATGCCGGTGTGAACTGATAGCGCACATAGCGTCCGGCATTTGGATCGGCAGTGTCCTCCAGCGACAGTTCCTCGGCTGCCGCCAGCATGGTTTCCTCCACGGACAGTCCGTCCGGATATTGTTCGCTCGGCGGCTTGGCGATCTCGAAGAGCACGGCACCGCTCTCCAGGTCACGGATCTTGAATCGCGTGAAGTCAATCTCGAACACATTTGCATTGGCGGAGCAGAGATAGTCGTCCGTGATCTTGGTCAGGTGGAGCACCTCATCGGGACTCACGCTGGACGGCTCCGCCGGTCGTTTGGCGTCATTGGAGGCACCGCCGCCGGCTGCCGCAGCTCCCGACGATCCTCCACTGCCGCCGTTGGCCTCCACTCCTCCACCGCCCGATGAAGAGGATCCTGCGGCCGAGGAGGACGACGTGGTCACTGCGCCCGCACTCGACGACTGCACCGGATTCAGTTGCTTGCCCACCACGCTCATTTCGCACGGAATCTGCTGCTATTATTTGTCTATAGTCTTCGGGATCGGGTTCTCAGGCTGAACAGCTTTTCAAGGCTCCTGCTTCTGCTCCTGGCTGGCTGGCTGCAGCAGTGGTATCCTTTGATCTCAAGCTACTATGTTGACTCACTCTGCGAATAAGAGGGAAAAGGCTTTGTTAAAAACGCTGAAGTCAACACAAGAAGTTAACTTAACAACAAAAATACCTCAAAATGATGATTAAATCTTAAAAACCCTATATTTGCAACACTGCATAATCACATTTTACTGAACATGCCAAATAAGATGAATCAAAACTAATGCGAATAATAATTAAGGTAGATTTAATGTAAGTGAAATGTAGTTGGCCAAATTACCTTAACTGAGATGACACAAAAATATACCTACAATATGCACATAGTAAATTAGATCTAGGAAATTTGCACATATCTGTAATATTAACAATATTTGAAAGCTAAGCTTAGTACTCACCAACACAAGCGCACGAGTGTAGAGTTGCATTAATTGTGGCAGGATTTTCTGGTGGAAAAATAGGGCTTCCTCTCCGATTTCCTTATTATCCTTTCGCTTTCCACTCCTCACTCTTTGGGAAATAAAATCGTAGTTTTATACAGAAATGGGGAAAAATAAAGGAGTTAAGTTAAGCAAATACAGCAAAAATAAAAACACTACTTACCCACACAAATGCAGGTTGCAAGTGTTGCCATAACATTTAGCTGCCAGCAACAACAACGTCCACAACCATCACAACAAAAACAATAAGCACACGACGACGACGACAGCAACAAATGAAATTCGTTTGAAAATCACCAGCAACAGCAACAACAACAACAAATGACCCAATTTCTGGAAAAGCTGCGCTCTCTTTTCCCTTTTTTCCTTTGTGTTTGTTTTTCCTTTTTCGGTTCGCGTCCTTTGTGTTAGTGGCTGTGCGTGTGTGTGTGTTATGTGTATATGTATGCAGGGATTACTTGTTTGTTTGTTTTTGTTGTTGTTGCGCTGCCCGAAAATCAATTATATCAATTTGACCGGCATTACAATGCTGCTGCTGTTGTTGTTGTTGTCGTCCGCAATGCAACTTAACGCATTTAAACGCTAAACATTGCACCTTTTTTGCCCACTTTTTTGCACTACTCAGCAATCGATAGTATATCGATGATGCATTACAGAAAATCGGTGTTACCGTACGAACTTGGGGAAAAACTTGAGACCAGCGTTGCCACACAGCAGCAGAACAACATTTTTACGAGCCAGCAGGGGTCACACTGCTGGCGCAATATTCAAAATATTCCAAATTTCCTAAAATTACTCGAAAAAAGCTAATTTCAATGCCTTGATAACTTTTTAGTTATGTTGCTTACCATTATTTATTGTATAACCGAAAGTAAGCCATCGGTTGCAGGAGGTTTTACAGTACACACAAAGCTTTAGAATGTTTGACTCATTTTTCAGCTTAAATTATTTTGCAAAATGGAAACTAAGAATGAAATTTCATATATCCCGTCCCACTGCTTAGTTAACCACTAAATACAACGTGAACTCGAAAAGGTTGTACTTTGAAAGCGTGCAAATGTGTTAAATGGCGTGTTGCGATCGCCTTCCTGTGCATTTTTGTGGCCCACAATTAGTTAATATGCATGCAGACTGCCTGCTTCTCTTCTTCTCAAGTGCCGTCGAGCGCCCCTCAGAGTGGTTTCCCTTCCCTTCCCGTTCCCTAGGCTGCAGATAAGCCAACCTAAAACTCAAGTGTCCTATCCGTATCCCATTCCATATACAACGCACCCATACCGGACCCATTTCGATTTCCATATTCAGACGCATGGGCGCCAATGCCAGATCATGTTTATGCACTGCAAGAAATGCCGGGATAAAAGTATTTTTTAGATCTATTTTAAGGAATTATGCTAAGTAAATCGGTATTACACTTTATAGATTTTATGTTAAAAAAAAATCATAACTATGGTATTAACCTTACTTTTGCACTCTCATTTTTGTATATTTTTCTTGCTGTGCGAGACGAAAGTACTTGAGTTCAATTCTAACTCCTCCTTTTCACATTTCCTCTGCCCCTTGCCGCTGTTATTGTTGGCCTTAAGTGGGTATTTTAATATTCGCAGCCGGAGCCAAAGAAGTGTTAAGTTTCAGGGGCCACATATGCACACATTATCCCCCGTTCGCTGTCCTCTGCCCCCGCCCCTGTATTTTTCTCCATTGGCGTCCGCGTTTCCTGTATTTTTTCAGTTTTCAGTTTTAGGTTTTGTTTTTTCTTACTTCGGTATTGGTGTGTATCTGTGTGCTGGCACTGGGAACGTGTTCGGCTCTATCTTTAGTACAGTTTGACTGGAGATCTCCAAACTGACCCCCCTCCGCCGCCCCTCTCTTGATTTATCCCCAAAAACTCAGAGAAAATCTGCAGACAGCCGGGCACCTGAGGAATATGCCATCTGACAGGCCGAAAGGGTCGAGAAAGATCCCAGGAATTTGCGGGATAATCCATCTTTTGAATCAGTGGAAATGCCATAGGCAGGATTCGGTTTCATTTTAGCTAAAATTTGCAGTTTCTTGAGATTAAACATTTCCGCACCCATTCTTCATGACTACATGACTACAACAGGTGGCCGGCCACTTAAAATAGATCAAAGGATCGCTTTTTATATTGCTATATATGAATACTTTGCCAGTAAGTAAGCTGTGAATGTGATTATTATATACGAATTGATTTGCTGTCCTCTTGAAACCTCAAATACTTAATCACCTGCAAACATGTGCTGTTTTTCAGAATTTATTTACATTCCAAATGTTCTTGCTTTCTAATCTTTCAAGCTGGCTAAGCTTTACAAAATATGTGGTAAAATCACCATCGATTCGCATTTACATGGCGAACTTACATGGAACTTAGCGTTCGATTGTTAGCTGATGAGTTTTGTTTGAATATTTCTTTCTTTCATGGACGGATGGCGGGGAGGGGTTTTCGAGCCACACAACTCAAGTACCCCCTGCGTACTTCAGTGTGGGTTCGTGTGTCTGTGTGTCTGGGTATCGAAAACAAACAGTAGAGCAACAAAAACCAAAAATCGTGGGCGATAAAATTCGTACTCGAACGGGCGACCAGGGGCGTTACTGAAAGGGGGCTACAAACACTGCCCAAAACTGGTTAAAGTGACTAAAATGGGATCTTAAAGTCAAGTTTTGCATTGCTCACATTTTTATAAAGTACTGCATACCTCATGGCGCACTGCTACAAAATATTTCTGCACCCCCTTTTCTTCGGTGCTTTCTCATAAAACCCCCTCGCAGAGCACGCCACTGTGCCTCCAAGTGGCGATGACGTTATGCGCGCCGGACGGTCTGGCAATGCACACTGCACACCGCACACCGCACTCACACACAAACACACCACACACTCACAACAACGCCTGTGCGTGTGTGAGTGTGTAAGTGTGCACACCCCATAGAGTAACACCTCCCAAGCAGCGCGTTCAGTTCGTCAAAAGCGCCAACAACAACACGTCATAATACACTGAACAGAATTTGATGACACAACAGCGGAGTAAGGAACGTTTTCGCTATCAGGACTAGAACGTTTGTGGATCGATGTTGCTCGAAACTGCGGGCACTCTTGAAAGGATGAATGTGTATTTGCTTAGGATCACCTTTTTTGCTGAGTGCAGCGAGTATAAGCAGCACAAGAGCCACAGAGCATAATCTAAATGCAATTCTCCTTGGAGCCTTGCTTTTTCGAGCGATTGCTCAGCCGAGATACAACAGCAGTGGGCAGCGGCAACGACGTCAACGCCTTCGCTGCCCACTCCGCCGCCCCCTCGCCCGCCCTTTCGTCTTACCCTTGCCCTTTAGCCCACCCCCCGTTTCTCGCAGTGTACGGGCGTGTGCGTGCCCGCGTGTGTGTGAGTGCAGTGCTGCGTGTGTGAGCGTGGATTTTTCTGGCGACAGACTGTCTGGCCTGACTCTGCCGACGCCTCTGCCCGCGCCGCTGCCGCTGCCGCGGTCGACTGCGACGCCTCTGCCCGCGTTTGTTTGGCCTGCCTTTATATGGTGAGTGCTTCAATGTGTGCAAGCGCACAGCGCGGGGCACACAAATAGCGCCCAAAGCCAAAAGCGGTCTCCGCTGTCAATTATGCCATACGAATATTTGTTGTTGTCTGTAAAATTTGTACATCTCATTGCACAGCATTTGTTTTTTCGTTGTGCTAATGTAACTATTTGAGTATTTTCGATTTTGATCTAGGTTCCTTGTTTCAAACTTAGGAGATCTTACAAAGAACTTGATATTATCTTAATTAAACAAAACAAATATCTGGGTTCTATTTTCATGCCCACCGCAGTGTCTGTGCCTGTGGCTCTAAGAACGTAGGTGTGCCAGTGTGTATGTCTGAACGTTCCGTCCGTTCCGTTTGTCCGTTTGTCCATTTGTCCGTTTGTCCGTTTGTCCGTTTGTCCATTTGTCCGGGGCACGAATGTTTTGTTATTGCGGCGTTTTGTTATTGTTCCCCCGTGTTGATATGGATTCTCGATGGGTTGGCGTTGGTGTGTGTTGGTGAGTGCATTATTGTGGGACGGTTTGGAACTGCTGGATTGTAGGATTGTAGGTATCCCAAAACCGAAACCCAAACTCTAACTCAAACCGAAGCCCAAACCGAAAACAAAACGCAAGCACTCACAGTCACACATACAGTGGGCACTTTTGTAGAGCTTGAACTTTACCTTACAAAGGGTTGCTCTTGCTCCCTTTTGAAACTCTGACCTTCAGAAGGAAAAGGAAACCCGGTGCTCAAGTCCCGGAGTGCCTTTAATTGCCTGAATATTCGTTATTCTGCTGCTGGAGACTGGAATAAAGTGCAGACCTGGCTGTACAGCCAAATGACAAGTAAATGGATCCAAATAGGCGTTTACTTGTGGTGAAAAATACCGAAAGAAAACCTGCAAACAAACAAAGACGTGCACGCATAAATATCGGAAATAATTTATCTATATATTTTCGAAAGAATGCCCACATAATGTCTGTCCGCAAGCAGGGCCAAAAAGTTTATTTGTTTGCCCTCCCAAGGAATAAACTTGTGTTTCTCCACCTACAAACACCCAACACCCAACATCAGCAGCCGCCTGCTGCATTTGCAGCATGCTTTATGCCCCATATGTGCGGCGTACATGCGTTATCGGACCCCAAATATTGGATTTACATAGATAGTTGACCCCAGCCCTGTAAACAAACCCCATTTCGGAGCTCAGTTGGATGTCCCGCGTACAGTAGGCACTGGAAAAGTGTGCTTACAGAGGTGGGGTGCTGAAAACAGCGGGGGGATACACGAATACCACATCCAGACAGATCTAGAAAACTATCCATGCTACAATGAAACAATCTTAGACTGAAACTAAGACGTTCCATAATGCCAGTTCGTGGATGTTAATCTATTATACAAGAAATTATGTCGTGAAAAACTTGTTTCGGGATTCCGATTCATCAGCATTTACTCCGTGTATCATATTTATCGCAGCTCAGTTAAATGCAATCCTAAAAAAGAGACAAGTACTTCCTATCGACTTTGAAGAAGGACTAATCCTAAATCCCCCTACCACCACAAAGGGCCACAAATCAATTGAAAGATATGGGCGGTTTTTCGAATCTCAAAACCGATCCTCAGCGATGGCTTTTCCCCTTAACTAATGCGATGGCCCGTTGACATGGGACACTTGGGCACAAATCATTGCTGTTGGAATGGTGTCTAGTATTTGGTATGCGGCAGGAGAACCCATCTGATTCTTATCTCCGATCTCTGCCTTTCTCCTCTCCATTTCAGATCCCCGAAATGGTACGTCGGTTGTATGTTAGATCCAAAACACCTACTATTTGGTGCCAATGTAACGCCTGCGAACGGAATTCGAATTTGATTTATGACGCCCCATAGATTTCATACCCATAATTAGTATTTCGGGTGCGTTTCCCCTCTGACACACTGCATATAGTGCTATTGTATTGTGCCACAGTGCCATGGGTCTTTCGGTCTGAGCGATTTATGGACAGGTGGCGATGTCGGCTGGCTACTGTGCACCCGATTTCCTCACACGATTGTTCATGCCACGCGCGTATATCGCAGATATCGCATATAGAAACATGCATATATGTAGATAGGATGGGTTGATAGATAGACTGGTAGATAGGCGGACAGGCG